GAGACCACTTTATCAAACAAATAATAAATTTTTATAAATTAACTTGTTGTTTGCCTGTATCTTCCTATTTTTGTTTAGGAATGTAAATGACCAGTCTCTTGTTGGAATACGTGCACCCTATACGGATAGCCTTGATATTGCCTTAAGCCACAAGCTTTATAAACAAAGGCGGATGGTGGCTAGCAGTAGAATCCAGGACGCACGTCTCGTCCTATTTGGAACTCGTCAGGTGGATCTACCTAATCTCAGAGCGAACGGCACTGGGTTCGAGTCCCGGAGTGAATATCAACTCTGAGATGCAGGTACATCCAGCTGACGAGTTGCAAATAGAACGAAACCCACGTCCATATTTGCTTCTAATAATTTTTTTTATATTCCATATAACCGACTGAGTTAAGCTTAATCAGTTTTCTTTTCTAAAAAAATTCCTCAAAATTATAAACACTATATCACGGCAATATATTAATTATATAAAATTACATTGTTCTTATTTTCCGGAAAATCTAGACACAAATCTACCAATCTTTAAATTATTTTTCATTTAACCATCAGAGGTAAAGTTCATCATTAGTGATTAGCAGTTTAGGGGTTGTGGAGATTGTTAAGTTTTTGATTGAGATCATGAACCGATTGATGTTAGGCCACCATTAAAAACCTGGAAGCACTGGACGGGCGTTTCGTCCTATCATGGGATTCCTCAGCAGTGCGCTCCCACGATCCCGCTCACGGGATTCGAATCTAGGGCCTTCAGTCTCGCGCACGAACGCTTAATGTTTAGTTAGAATTCATTCGTTTTTTCATCATAAAACTTGACTATAATAGGTTGATGATTAGGATCACAGATAAGAAATTGTAACGAAAATCCGTTACAGTCAAAGTAAGTATGACATTAATGTTAACCGTATTAAATCCACAATGATAGTAGGTTGATGATTAAAAAAAAAAGAATTTAATCCAATACATAAGTGATTTTTATCAAGCATTAATATGAGCTAAAAATCTGATAAAAAAAATACCAGGAACCAGTTTGGAGTTCTGTATTGATCTTCAATTATTATCACACAACTGGTTATAATCCAAAACATATGGAAAGTTTTCAACAAATAGGATATTATTAAGCCATTAAAATGTAGTCCAAACATCTAGTTTTCACATTCAATGAATAGGCTATATATCTGTAGTACTTTTACTCCATTTCGAGATTTGTCAGTTTCATAAATTAAATATTGTCATAAAAATATCACAAAATTTATTTCGTTCAAAACCCATTAATAATTATTACTCCAACATTGATCAGCTAGAGATGATTTACAAAGATCTGTTCACTATGAAACTGATTCTTATGGAGTGATACGAACTATAGAGTTATCATAAACTTCAATTTTGAAAATTTTCTCTTCTATCAAGTAGTTGACATCAATTGAGTATTTTTTTTTCAAAAAATTCTTAATCAAAACGAATAACTACCTACTACTCCACAGGTAAATAAGTCAATGTAGAGATTTCCATGAAAAGGAAAGAATTCTCCTCCCACCTATTTATCAAGTACATTAGTCATAATGATTTTCTAATGTTTTCACCAGTACATTAAATTCACATTTTTTATTAAAATCATCATTCAATGTACCATAAAATACTGAAAATAACAATTTCCAACCTACAAATAAAATTTATAGTGTATCCTGTTAAACTATACTACCATACACAGTTGTAAAAGAATCAGTTAATTTAAAGTCAGAATGGAGATTTTTGAAAACTGTAGTATTTTAATAATTGAATTCATGAGTCGATCTAACCTACACCATCACTGAAAACCTAGAAGCATTAGACAACTGTTTCTTCTTCATATGGGACTCCTCAGCAGTACGCATCCAGATTTTCAATAGTATTCTAGCTTAGATCAACTCATGAAATCAACTATTAATATGTTGTAAATAGTAGATTATTCTTACTTACCTATATGTTTATGATGCCTTATTGCTGTAATCATACCAAGATGATGACGATTATGATGAGTTTTTTGTTTTTTTTCTTTATATAAATCAATATTATCCATTGAAATTGAATTGTCATTCAAATATTTAACATAGTCAGGATGTAATAAATGATTCGATTCATAACGTCCAAAACTATGCCAATCATTCATATGACGTTCATGTAATTTAAACATATAATTAGGTGTTTTAGCTATTAATTCTTCTTTAGATGGTTTTTGAATATCATTATTTTTGAAAGTTTCTTTATTCATACTACTTAAACTACTACTTATAGTCGTTATACTTGAAGTATAATCTATAGATGGATTATTTTTAATCATATTTATTTGTGATTTTAATAGTTTTTCTAATAAATAATTCCATGTTTTTTGTTCAGATTTTGTTAAAATATTTAAATTCATTTGTTTTCCAGTTGTTGTTAATGATTGTAATAGATTAATTAAATTATATTCATTTGATAATTTAGGTGAATGATGAATTTGTTCAATAGATTCAATAGTTTTTATAGTACATGTTAAAACAATTATAATAATCCATATTAAATAAGTAAGAACATTCAATCTAGATATATTTCTAACCTTTTTTGAACTTTTTCTCGATAATACATTTGGTAATGATAAAAATTTCACTGATTCACTTTCATTCGATTGAAATATTGATGATTTAATGAATGGTTCCCTTTCAACATAATCATCATCATCATCATCATTGTCAGCATCATCAACATCATCGTCATCATTATGATCATTGACATTTGTATAAATTAAATGCTTAACTGATTGAGTATGATATGAAATACAATAAGTGATCAATAAAAATCGTATAATAAATTTTAAATAAATAATTAAAAAACTTAATTTATTAATTGAATTATTAAAAATATGGAATAAAATAGATTTGTTTAACTTAACGGTAATACATTTACATATCCTGTTTAAAATGAATGTTTTTCTGATAGATAATATAAGATATGATCCAAATTGTTTAGTTGAATATTTTAATTGCCAACATTTTTCAAATACATAATCGAAAAATTCATGAAATTTGTATACAGTAATAATTTTTGTAATTGAAAAGTAATAATCTATTGATAGACGACTAAGGTTAGATGTTTTGAGAAATATAAGTGTTGACGGCGTCAAATTGTATAGATTTGTCCTTTCTGTTTCCATAGCATAAGGATGTATTCATAAGGTTACTACTGCTTTGAATGTTGACTAATGGCGCCGATAGATTGTCGCCAAGGTATTAAGTTTGGCGCCTTATGACCTACAGTCGACAGGTCTAGAGTAAGTGACTTTTCCCCCATTATCAAATAATTCTATTTATCATTCATTTGAAAGAGAGAAAGTTTTTATAAAAGGAGAGAGAAATTATGTACAATGAGAGAAAGAACCAAGAAAAGTAAGAAAGATAGATAGAAGTACATATAATCCACAGCTTTAAAATAAGGGTGGATGAAAAAAAAACCCTGGTATTTCAGTCTCGACATCACCTATCATATAGTGATACACGCGATCATCCACTCTAATCACTATCATGATTATATAGAATACGCAAATGTATAGTGTATACACACTTCATCTAGAACTATTTAGTTCACACCCTAAGAAAAATTTCATACAGTATCATAATATCATGTAAAGTTGAAAATCATTGGTTATTCAGTCATTAATAATATATGGGGTGGATACAGTTAAACATTTCTATTGGCTTAAAATTCTAGTCATATTGACAAATTAAAAATAACTAGAAGACTAGAATGAAGATTATTGAGATATTGTTGCTTATGGCGACATTGATATTCTTTGAAACTGGGTATGTTGTAATCTTCAATCAGTCCATGGAATATTCAATATATAAATCTGAATAAATAAAAACAATAATAAGTTCACTTGTTGACAGTTGACTCTAGAAACTTCATTTATATAAAAATCTATATTTTTTTGGAAGTGAAAAGTCTAAAATGTCAATCATATATATATAGTAAAGGGAAACATGCAACATGCAACGCACGTGCACTAGTTAGCATTTAGTGTAATGATCCAAATTATCATGTTGATTTCATTCTATTAGTACTCATATTTGGGAAGGTAAATTACTAGTTAGCACGTGACAGACTTATTTATATAGTACATCCATTTGACCTCTAGATATTTAATTGCGATATTAATTGGTGTATGTATTTTACTAAAGTAACTAAGATAATGCATTCACCTTGATTTTACATACATTTTAGTAGTGAGTTAATAAATATAAACCGATGATCTATAGTCGAATAATAGGATAGCAAATCTCGATAAACAAACAAATATAACTTAAACGTTGAACAGTAAACAGCGTTCGTCAATTTAGATTACTAGCCAGTTTCACTTAAATATTTGAAATGCTTAAGCCGTCTAAAATTGGACAATTGACTTCACATAATTAGCATACCATGAATGAGGTAGAAGCTTCCTACCCCTATTTTCAAAATGAATAGTTTTCATCTTTCTCACAAGTGATCGGTGTTGTAACTATCCATTTGTCCTGTCAATGGAATTGTAGTTGAAAGTCAGTCGTCAAGCATGTAGATTATAGTGAGAACAGTATTTAACCGCTGATTACTTCGTTGAGTTTCATATTTCATTTAGTAGTGACACTTGTATCAGCGGTCAGTAATAATTATCTAAAATTTGAACAGAAATTTCACAAAGTTATCTTAACAATAAAAATAAAATAAAAAGAAAATTAAACTCATTATTTAGTAATCTGTTTTTCAAAGAAGTCCTTATTCATAAATCAAAGTTTAACAAACATATAAGCACAATGTAATTTGTTAGTTGAAAACAATAACCAAAAGAGTTTAACGAGTTGATTTTTCGTGAATGAATAACTTGTTAACTATTCATTACTTATTGTGATTTTACAACGCTAAACAAATTCACTCCACGTATTATCAACTTGATAAACTATTCGTGCAAAATCTAGTGTTTTCATTTCTTTATTGGAAGACTGCCATTAATGTCATCATCATCATCATCATCATCATCATCATCATCATCATCATCATCATCATCATCATCATCATCATCATCATCATCATCATCATCATCATCATCATCATCATCATCATCATCATCATCATCATCATCATCATCATCATCATCATCATCATCATCATCATCATCATCATCATCATCATCATCATCATCATCATCATCATCATCATCATCATCATCATCATCATCATCATCATCATCATCATCATCATCATCATCATCATCATCATCATCATCATCATCATCATCATCATCATCATCATCATCATCATCATCATCATCATCATCATCATCATCATCATCATCATCATCATCATCATCATCATCATCATCATCATCATCATCATCATCATCATCATCATCATCATCATCATCATCATCATCATCATCATCATCATCATCATCATCATCATCATCATCATCATCATCATCATCATCATCATCATCATCATCATCATCATCATCATCATCATCATCATCATCATCATCATCATCATCATCATCATCATCATCACTACTACTACTACTATTACTACTACGACTATTAATAATAATAAGAAGAAGAATAAAAATAACAATAGTAATAGTAATAATAATGCAACCATTGCATTTGATTAACGGTTTCAGAAAGTTCCATATTACGTAACAGTTTATAATTTTATTCATATGGACCATTATTTACGAAGAAATTTGGCACTGACGAATTCTAATATTAATTAATGATTCACAAGTTTAAGAATATTTAAAATTAAGAATGAGTTATTATTGGAAATTCCTCCAGAGATTCCTTTTTTATCATTTTCATCTAATTTTTCTAGGAAAACATGAAATAATTAAATTAGAATTTATACACCGAATGTGTTATGTAATAAAAAAGAATGTTAAGAGCAAAACATTTGGAGAGGTTTCCTGATGAAAGTAGACGCAAGCCATTCATTGTTGAAAAAGAAGTAATATTTTAAAGATGTACAGGTTTGTCCTAATAAATTTTTGTTATAATCAAATACGTAGTATTGTGTTGTGTTCTACTGATGTCGACAAATATAAGTAGTATGTACCAACGATCGAAAGTGAAAAACCTGGAGGCAGAAGGTTGAGAAAATCGAAGAGAAGAGAACAGACGATGATTGGTATGGAAACGAAGGAACAGTAAAGTCTAAGACAATCGATAGATATTTTACAAATAAAGTACTTCTGTATAGATCTCAGATTTTACCAAGATATTGTGTAATGTTATGTTAAAATGCATTTCTTTGTCCTCATTGGTGTTCTCATTCATTACAGTATTAATAAAGAAGTTAATAGTGATCATAACGTTATTATTATCATTACTTTTTACTAACCATCTTATTGTATACACATTTTGGAAGACTTTACCTTAAATTAACCACTAACAGTTAAAAAAAAGAAGAAATTATTACATAACTGAATGTTTACTATAAAGCATACAGTGGATCGATTCAAAATCATTTCAATTTTAAATGGTTCAAAATAATCTATGTGCATGTAACTATAAAAGAGATCATGATTTGTATTTAATGTTAATGACTAGTTTACTAGTAGGGAAAACTTTTCAGTTTACACATAATGAACCTTTTATCTATACACATATAAACATACACCTACATGTCTGACTGTGTAACAAAGATTTATTTTACTGAAATTTAAATAAGAAAAAGAAAAACACCAAAGCAACTGAACTTCAATGAAAACTGAAGAAAAAAAAACCAAAATATTTTGTGTAAACTTAAATAGTATGACTGTTATCAGTCTCATTAGCATCATATTTATTAAAAAAGTGTCAGTTTAAGAAATAATTTTTAACAATTCAAGCATATATGTATTGTATATATTTGGAGGGGAAAAAAAGAATAAGCAGTACCCACCATTTGCTTCTTTGTATTTAATTTTTTTTTACAATACACAATATACACATTCACAGATATCATAGTGTCTAGGTAAATTTACTAAAGCTGAAAATGTCAGCAAATATATATATATATATATATATATATATATATATATATATATATATTGGGGGGGTGAAAAATGTTGTGCTTTCTTTTTGTTATGAAAATAATAGTTATTATTATTACGAAAATTGTTGTTGTTATGATTCAAAATACTGAATGGATTATTTTTGTACAAAAAATCAAACAGCAGTATGTAAACAATCTATCGCCAACATTTCGCCTATTTAAAGGTAATTTTTCTATATACATATATGAATATTGAAAACATAATTTATATCATGTTAAATAATCACACACTAACATACAAACATTTAAACATCGTTTTCAGATTATTTCTTCTATAGTGAATATTGATAATGGCGCCAAAATACTTTGTGTAGACCACCTTACGAAAAATGTATGAATAGTGTCTATATGTATCTTAATGTAAGAAAATCTATGGGCTTTTGTAAATATGTATATGCATGTGAACAGTTACGTTGAGAAGAATTCATCTATCAAGATAAAAGAACGATAGTTGAACTGATTAACAATAGTGAAAAGATAAATGAGCTTTTTTTCCAGTTATTAACCAGTAATGTGTGGGCTATTTAAAATATAAGATACTGTCACATACACATATTTTTTTCCTTTGTGACAATTTTAATTTAAACTATCGACATTTGTTAGTAAAGTTTAGTGTGTCAAAACTAGTTGACTTAACTAGATGGAAAAAAAGGAAAATGTTTAATGTTCAATATTTTGGTAACGATGTATATATGTATATAATTACTGAATATTTTTATGTTATACAACTTACTATTATTGTATAGAATCAAATAACCAGAATGTCAAGATTCATCTTGTATTGTTTTTATCAATAATAATTAATAGAGATAATATAAAAGAATTGTAATATACTGATATATCAACTAACTATAAAACAGCTATTGACAATTAAACATATTGTTAACTTGAATTAATGGATCAAGAAATTCTCATATTTACCATACAGTGGTTATGTAACTTATTGGTTTCTAAGAGAAATTTAAGAAATTAAGTGATATTATTAGGTGTATAGTTCTACAATAGTATGCACTTATTTAATGATCAATCTACTTTTGTTTAATCTTATAGAGTAATAAATATTATAGGGATCATGTTATTAGTATTAAAATTACTACTTTTTTCCATACTACAATAATTCGATGAGGTAAATTGTCAAATCTATTGAGTTTTACTTTTATTTCTTTTAATACATTTAATTATTTTCAGAAGGGGGTTTTGTGGAGATATTAGCAATTTTTTGTAGTTGAATTCATGAGTCAATTAAATCTAGATCACCATGAAAAACCTGGAAGCATTGAACAGCCGTTCCGTTGTAGTATGGGTCTCCTCAACAGTGCACATCTACGATTCCCATCAATATGTTTGGGACTGGAATCCCGAGGGGGTAATCATGGATGAACCCTGCTGAGGGGTCCCATACTAGGACGAAATGACTGCCCAGTGCTTCCAGGTATTTCATGGTGATCCAGGTTTAATTGACACATGAATTTAATTATTTGTCTTTCGAAGTTATATAAACAGTCTATGATCACCAAAATTTCCCATAATGGTTACCTTAATCTCAAAACATTAAAAGTTGTCATTATTTTTTCTTATACCATATATGGTAATAGATAACTTATGAAGTAATGGGATAATCTATTTTATAAAGTCTATTAATTTTCCATACATAATAACATTAGTATTCAACTAGTAATTTCTCTATTACAAATCATAACAGTAAACAAATGAATAATATCAATGAATTTCGCCATTAAATATGTACCTTTATTAAAGTTAAATAGAATAGAATGTAACTATTTTGAAAGATAAATATTTTCTTCCTATTTAAAGCAAAAGGATAATTTACTAAAAAAATTCTATTCATTCTTTAATCTTTTTGTGTGAACAACTACTCTGAGATGCAGGTATATCCAGCTGACGAGTCTCAAATAGGACAAAACGAGCGTCCTGGATCCCACTGCTAGCCACTATCCATCTTTGCTTAAAAAGCTTGTGATTTAAGGTTATATCGAGGCAATCCGCACAATATGCACATATTCTAGCATGAGACTGATCAATTACAGTCCTAAATAACAATGGGAAGATACAAGTAAAACAACACCAAGTGAATTTTTTTGCCTCATGAAAATATAATCCATAACTGATCATTATTTCACTGATTGAAATCATGAGTCAATTGAAGCTAGACCACCATGGAAAACCTGGGAGCACTGGACGGCCGTTTCGTTCGCCTGTGGGACTCTACAGCAGTGCGCACCCACGATATCGCCCCCCACAAGATTCCAACCCAGGACCTATCAGTCTCGTGCCAGGCGCTTAACCAACTAGACCACTGAGCCGGAATCTAACAGTGTTAATGTCTAACTTCAACCAACCTCATGAAAATATAATCCATAACTGATCATCATTTGTATTTAAAAAACACCCAATTAAGAGTTATTTCCAATAGTTGTCATTTAAAAAAGAGATACTGTTCCATTGATAAATAAGTTTGTTTTATCAAAAAAAATTATTTCATTTTAATTGTTTAGGTAAAAATAAAAAGCCAATTTTGTCATGAATGAATCGAGTTTTTTTTTAAAATCTGAACAAAGGAGAATATTGTAGATATGCATGATCACCAGTTAATTTTCATGTTAGTAGTTAAGGGGAAAACTTTATTTGAATAGGCAATATTATATATTATATATAATACATGTCAAAATGACATAGAAACAAGTTAGGTACTTAATTCAATGACTCTTCCTAAGACATAATATCAGTTTGGAATAAAAGATATCAGCGGTTAAAATATAATTTAAAATAAGAAGAATTAAAATGTTTGGGTAATTCACTTTCAATGTTTTTTTAGAGAATGGATGCTATTGATATTAATATTAAATATGTCTTCCATAATAGTAGGACTTTAGACACAATGTAGTCAAAATTTTATGTGGACAGAACGATAAAGATGCATTTCCGTATGATAAGAGATAATTGCAGAATGTTGTATTGTGATGTAAATTCATTGGTTTCTACCTCTTAAAAAAAATAAAGCTAATGGTATTTGTAAATCAAAGGGGTATGTTTTATGTACAACCACCAAAACAGAAGTACCAGATTAGCAGTCAGTTTTATGAATAGACAAACGGAACTAGAGTGAATGTTTTTTCTTATAAAGACCTCCACATCTAAGGGGAAGAATGGAATACAATGGAAAGCTCAGAATCAATTAGAAGATCTGAACTTCGCAGATGACCTAGCCCTCTTATCGCATACACACCAACAAATGCAGATGAAGATAACTAGTGTAGCAGCAGCCTCTGCATCAGTAGGCCTCAGTATACACAAAGGAAACAGCAGGATCCTCAAATACAACACGGAGAACACCAACCCAATCACACTTGATAGAGAAACTCTGGAAGATGTAGAATCCTTCACATACCTGGGAAGCATCATTGATGAACAAGGAGGTTCAGATGCAGACGTAAAGGCGGGGATCGGGAAAGCAAGGGCCGCATCCCTACAATTGAAGAACATATAGAACTCAAAACAAATTTCAACCAATATCAAAGTCACAATCTTCAATACCAACGTCAACACAGTTCCACTGTACGGAGCTGAAACATGGAGAAACACTACA